ACGGCAACAGGAAATTTCCACGATGCTTGATTCGGCACAGCTTGCTCTTCTGCTACCTTCATTTTCCCGCCGAGAGCCTGCAGGTGTGAGATGGAAAATAATCACGAGGGTCGTGCCGTTTTACCAAAATTTTGCCGCATCGGGCGGAAGATACTTGGGGGAGATTTCTTTCTTTGACCGGCGCAAGATCTTCGAAGCTATCTGGCGGACCGAGAGGGAACAGAGGATCCGCGTAGTGCTCCTGAGTGGCGACAGACATGAATTTGGCGCGACAAGGTTTCCTGACCCAACTCTAGCAAAAGCAGCGGCAGATAGCAATGATTCACATGGTCATGACAGCAACATGGGTATCCATGAGTTCTGCACGGGTCCGCTTAGCATGTTCTATGTTCCCGTAGACTCCTACGTGCAGACGGACGATGAGGATGTTATGATCAAGTACTATCCCGCTGGCAACAACAAGCTGGGCGTAATCAATATTGACATGGATAATGCAGGTAATTCGGTGTTGAGGTATAGTTTGTATGTCGGTGAAGACCTTTTGTGGGGATATAAACTGGTTAGTCCACTGGTCTTGGGAGGTGAACAGAATGCCGTGTTGCCAGCTGGAGAAGTTTTCCTGGACAGGACCAGAAGAAAAGTTGTGCCGCAATTGATTAAGAAGGTATCTGGGGAAGTTATGGGGTGGGCGAGGCCTTGGTTGAAGCGGAGTTTGGATTTTGTTACTGGTAAGGTGTTTGCGTTCTTGCAGAGGGAGGTTGCGACGGAGATGTAGTCGGAGTTAAGGTGATGAAACGGAATCATGTCGCAATTTGATGTGTTTTTTCCTTTTTTATTCTTTAAATACGTTGTGTTGCGGTTATCTGAGCATTTGCTGCTCATTTTACGAAAGGGAAAGAGAGGGGAGGGAACCCCCCCAGTAGAGTACAGCGCCAAAGAAATGGATATAAGGGTTATATATTTCTGTTCAAATTCACAATAAAAGGTAACGGGCTGCAATATCCATCCTTGGGATGTAATGTTACATATAGAAGCAATTGAAAAGATCAATCAAAATGCAAAAGGTAATGCCCAAGTGAATATAACAAAACACGCCAAAACTTCTAGTTTTGAAAAATCAAAACAATCGCTACCTTAAACGCCATTCTCTATGTCACGTACCATGCCATACAACAAGGACAAGAACCAGGGAAAATCGCAAGGAGAAAAAGAAGAAGCGGGGATATTATCTTCCCCTTCCCCTCCCACCTCCTCCCATCAACCCACTCATCTGGCTCATCATACTTTTCAAATCCATTCCTCCCAGTCCAGGCATCCCTCCACCGCCTGCACCGCCAGGGCCCCCACCACCCTGCAACATCTGCATCATCTTCGCCATATCACCCATACCTCCCATCCCAGGCATACCACCCGCACCACCCATAGCCGCGATACGCTTCTGCATAGCAGCCATCTGCTGCTCTTTATTGCCGCCTTTAAGCATACTCTGTGCACGCTGCATCTGTTTCTTCTGTCCACCAACCCTCTTCGCCATTCCCGCCATCATCTTGTGTTGGGAGAGGAGGTCCTCAACTTCCCGGACGGTGGTGCCGCTGCCACATGCAACACGGACGATGCGGGAAGGTTGGTCGATGAATACCTTGCCGTCGCCATCGAGTTCTGCGGCGGTCATGCTGTCGAAGATGTAGATCATGCGGCGGAGTTTGAGGGAGCCGTCTTCGTCGTCCAAACCAGACGTGATGTTTGATAGGCCGGGAATCATGCTTGAGATCTTTGATAGAGGTCCCATTTTCATTATGGAGGTGATATTTTCGCGAAAGTCGCGGAGGGTGAAGATACCAGCTGTGATGTGTTTGTAAGTTTCTTTGGCAGTTGCGGAGTCCTTTGTCACCGCTTGAACATGTTCGACTAAGCCAGCCATGTCGCCCATCCCCAGGAGTTTTTGGATGAAAGGTTTTGGAGCGAATCGTTCGAGGTCCAGCATGTGCTCTCCCGTTCCTAGGAAAATGATGGGTGTATGGGTTGCGGCGACGGCGGAAATGGCACCTCCACCGGCTGCGGCACCGTCCGTTTTGGTGATGATTATAGCGCCAAAATCTGCCGTAGCTTTGAATGCAGATGACTGGATCTCAGCAGCCTGTCCGATGGTGCCGTCCAGAACCAAGATGGTTTGATCTGGTTTTATCGCCGTCTGGATCTGGGTCATTTCTGCGAACAGATCCGCTTCCTGCTTATGCCTACCACTCGTATCGACAATGATGATATCGAAACGCTCCTTCTTAAACTTGGCTACTCCCTCTGCAGCAACGACAACGGGATCTGTCTGCGTTAAGCTGCCGTAGTAGGGGATCTTTGCCTTGGTTGCATTCTGCTTAAGTTGATCGAAAGCGCCGGCACGGAAAGTATCTGCGCAAACAAGAGCCGCTCTGAAACCGCGAGTTTGGTAATGTCGAGCCAGCTTCGTACACGTTGTCGTTTTACCCGCACCCTGCAGACCAACGAACATGATGACATTTGATCTTCCCTTCTTCGGCTTGAACGGCTCACAGTGCGGGTCCACCAGAGCCACCAGTTGGTCGAAAACAGTTTTTTGTATTAGGCGCTTTTTATTTACGGCGGGCGGGAGGGAGGAGAATTGCACGGAGGATTTGATGGATTTGCGGAGAGACTGGACGAGGCGAACGTTGACGTCGGCGGAGAGGAGGGCGGCACATATCTCTTTGATCATAGCATCAAAGGCCTTGTCGCAGAGTTAGAATGGAACGTATATACAACATACATGGAGTACGCAAAAGAGGTTATACCTGTTCATCGATATTGCTTGACCTTGTAAGGTCGTTGACGGCGGCGTTTATACGCCGCCCGAGATCTTGAAGGACCATCGCGTGGAAGCTATATTTCTGGGAAGAGGGAGGAGGAGTTGTTCAGAGGGCATACGAGAAGAGGGAGATATTCACTTGCGGGCAGTATCACAATAAATATATATACTATCCCTAATAAACTGAAGATGTGAAGTTGTTTTAGTTAAGTAGTTGTTGCGGTTGAGTTGTTGGAAATTCGACGATGAAGTGTAGTCACGTGAGGTATCTTTGGCAGTAACTTTCTTTTGCAGGGCACAAAATCCAGCACTCAATACAAGCCATGAATATATAATTAATTGACATATTGACGATATTAAATTATTTTCCACCTCAAATTCCACAACTATTACGGGCATACAGGTATCCTGATGGCTCCCCCATTGCTTAAAAAGCGCAAAGTCGAGAATGGCATGAATGGCAGAACCTCGCGGCCAAAGAAAATCAAGCTGCAGCGGGAATACCACAGCAGCTCAGAGGACGATGATAACAATGAATCGTTCACCGCAGTCAACCTACAAGATTCAGACAGCAATAATGAAGCGCGATTGACCGAGAAAGCTCAGAAAATTGCAGAAAAATCAGATCTGGACGGTTCAGATGCAGATGCAGATTATTCAAACTCAGACTCCCACACAGCAGCATCATACGCTGCCTCCGACTCCGATATAGACTCAGACGCCTCCATATCCGGCAGTGATCAAACAAAATCCACGCAGCGCAAGAAATTCTCCAAACGCAATGATCCCACTGCCTTCTCCACATCTATTTCCAAAATCCTCTCGACAAAACTACCCAGAGCAGCACGTGCAGACCCGCTTCTGTCGCGAAGCAGAGCGACCTTACAAACCACCTCCGATCTCGCAAATGAGAAGCTCGAGAGCCGTGCGCGCGCTAAACTGCGGGCTGAGAAGAAGGAGGAGCTGGAGCGTGGGCGCATACGAGATGTGTTGGGCGTCGAGACGGGAGAGGCTGGTGAGATGGCGGAGCAGGAGAAGCGGTTGCGGAAGATTGCGCAGAGGGGTGTGGTTAAGCTGTTCAATGCGGTCAGGGAGGCGCAGGTGCGGGGGGAGGAGTTGGCGAGGGAAGAGAGGAGGAAGAGGGGTATTGTTGGGATGGCGGAGAGGGAGAAGGCGGTTAATGAGGTTTGCAAGCAGGGGTTTCTGGATTTGATTAATGGGAAAGGGGGGAAGAGTTTGAATATTGAAGAGGCGTGAAATGATATATATTATCCCTATCCTCCTTTTTTCTTTTTCTTTTTCTTTCCCTCCCCCAAATACGCATTTGTTATGGGTTTTCGAATCTTGACTTGTGAGAGGCATGTATAATGGGCGTTTCCTGTGGGTTATGTGAAAAATAGAGATGGTTTTCGTTGGCATGTCTATGGGAGAATATATAATACAAATAGTCGCAGATAACGAGTAATATATGTCTGCGATGATCAATCATACAGCTCAAGAAGAAAAAACGACCCCTTCCTTTGAACCAGTTCCTTTCTCGCTTTCCGAGGAGATGGATAAGGTTGCCGATAGCGAGAATCATTATGAAAGAAAAAAGATATGTAAAAGACAAACCCTCAGATATCTCTATTATTTCTGCTCAAAATCACTTGCTTGCAAATTCCTCGTCATACTGGGTAGTCGTACAACCAGCCCATCCAGCTCCGGGGACATCTTCACCTGGCACCCCAGCCGTGAAGTCTCAGTCAGACCAAAGGCAAGGTCGAGCATATCATTCTCGTCGTCGTCTGGCTCTTCCATCTTATCATACATATCGGCATCTTCCACGATGACATGGCAGGTTGAGCATGCGCAGGAACCACCGCAAGCACCTATGGCAGGATGAGTGCATGTTTAGCTTAGAACTAGTTTTATCATACACAACATGAACAGGAGTATTCTAAGGGTAGGAATCATTCCGCCAGGGGGTGGGAGGGTCATATATTTTACCTTCCATCTCAAGATCATTTGCCTGAGCGATATCAAGCAGGTTGTCACCCTTGGCCACTTGGAAATGGTGTTTCTCTCCGTCCTTGTCAATGAAGGTCACATTGAGCCTGAGCGACACATATCAGTTAGTGACTGCAACCTCGCGCTTGAAACATCAATCGCATCTATAAGGGATAACCACGGGCGCACTCACTGTTCTCCTGGTTTAGGAGGCTCAATATGCCCATGCGATGCGACCGTGGTGGCTGAAAATCTCCTCCTTGCCCGAGTAGTATATTGCGGACATTGCACATTTACTCCGCCCCTTGTTAGACTTGTTGGTCTGACGCAGGCTGAGTACTCTCGGATGCCGCTATTGGGCATCCTCGATCCTGAGGTTATAAAAATGCTCCGACATTTGGGTTGATGAGCCAGAGGTCTGCAGTTGCTGAGAAGATGCGAGGCGGAGATGCGCAGTTGGCAGGCTATCCCGTTGCATATCGACATGTTCCAGGAGATGACTGAGGAGATATCGTGAATTATAGACTCCGTATGGTATTCAGCTTTACAATTAACACTGTAGCAATATCCGGAATATGGAACATAGGAGTGGCAGATGGTATTATTATATTTTTTAATCGCTGGTCCAAGTGTTTTTGCGGGGGAATATTTCTTGTTGATTCGATCGGAAAATAAATCGACGATCGCGGCTTTGACGAATTAAAAAAATCATTTAAACTTGCACAACTGCAAACCAAACCATCCACAGTCAATATTTATCACCATGAACAGCCACTCTTAGGGATGATTATCTCATTATATTACCACAAACAACATCCAGTCCAGTTCACATATATAATACTCTGGAGAGAGTGTTTGCGTAATCTCCCACAATGGCCTCGTCGTCTGAAGGACCAAATCCGTTTCGTCCCTATTACATTCCGCCCTCCATCGGCCTTACAAAATCCTCAGCACCGCCAGCATCCAGCCCCCTTGTGAGCAAGGCGAGTATTAGAAATTCCACGCGTGATATTTTCTCCGACTTCGACTACTCGGAATACCTGGGCGAGACGTCGCCGACGATATCTCACTCCGTGAAAGAGCTAGTTGAAAAGGCGCTATGGAGGTACACCAGCGTGTTGATGGCGCAGCCATTCGAGGTTGCAAAGACCATTCTGCAGGTGTACGTTGAGCAGGACATGCAAGCGGAGCTGGTGGGGAGAGATGAGAGGCCGAGGAGGGATCAAGGATATCGAGACAATTACTATGAGGATGTACGTGTTGCGGCATCGACTATGATTTTGACGGCGGGCCCTTTATCATCTCTATATATTCCATGCCAGTACTAACACTTGGTATCTGATATAGGACTCCGCACCATCAACGGATGATGAAAGCAGCTATTTTACATCAGATACCCCTCTAACCCCTCCCACCGGAGCCTCCCGAAACCGCCGTTCGCGGCCTCGCATTACGGACCGGCGTGGATATATCCCTTCCACCTTTGCTTCCGCTAGTAAAAGTACGCTGAAGATCAAGGATTCCTCTTCTCTGTTTGACGTATTGGGCCAGCTCTGGGGTACAAGTGGTCCAACTTCGCTGTGGAAAGCGTCGAATTCATCATTCGTCTATTCCCTCCTTCTTCCAACCCTCAATACCTTCATCCGAAGTCTGCTATCCGCTATCCTAGCTTTCCCAGACGAAGGCTTGTCCTCCCTTGCCGAGCCTGATATTCTCATTTCCTCATCGCCAGTCTCCTCTTTACTGCTCACCTGCATTTCATCCTCACTCTCCGCCATCCTTCTCTCTCCCATCGATACCACACGTACATACCTGATCCTCACCCCGCTATCCAAAGGCCCGCGATCACTCCTCCGCGCCATCCGCCTCCTCCCAACCCCCAACTTCCTGATTCCACCACACCTCCTTCCAATCACTATTCTATCATCAACACTCCCAAATTTCATAACAAGCGCCACTCCACTCTTCCTCAAATCCTACCTCTCCCTCGATCCGGTTCTCAACCCCTCCTCATGGAACGCTTTCAACTTTCTCGCATCAGGCCTGGAACTGGCCGTCCGCTTCCCTCTGGAAACTGTCCTCCGCCGTGCCCAAATCGCAACATTCACATCCCCTGCTCTGCGTCAGCAGTCCGGCCTCCAGCCCAGCACAGCCCAAAGGTCATCCTCAACCTCAACAACATCCCTTTTCCCCGGAACCCTGAAATCATCCTCACAACCCCCGGTCATCGAAACAATTGTCCCAACCCCACAATCCTACCGCGGTATAGTCGGCACAATGTGGACAATTGTCTACGAAGAAGGCACGAACCCGCACGCCCTCGAGGTTGAACAGGTCATCGCACAGCACAAGGGACATTCATCGTCGTCCTCTGCTCGGGCATCGTCAGCGCAGGAGACCGCGGCAAGTCGTCGGGCCCAGAAACGCAGGCAGGGACAGGGTATGCAGGGGCTGTATCGTGGTTGGCGGCTGGGAATGTGGGCGCTTGTTGGGGTGTGGGGTTCTGGACTTTTGGGCATGGCATTGGATGCTGGAGATGATGAAATGGTAGAGAGTTCTGGGGGAGTTAGGATGGCGTTGGAATCTGCGAGTGGGAGGGCGGGCAGCGCAGCTACTAGAGGCGCATTTTAATGCTCGTTTTAGTAAGAACCCTTATGTGGGTTTACGGACGGGTGCACGTCTCTGATATCTTGAATGCAGCTCGACTGGAGAGAGGCTATGTCTCTCCTGGTCCCTCAAGGTTATGGCCTATTCCCATGGAGACTACTTCTCAATCATCAGGTTATGCTTTCCCCTCTCATCCCCACAGGACTAGACGTGGTCTTTAATACAGTATAATAGGAGTTTGTACGCTGGCGCGCAAGATTTATTTTCTCCTCACCATTCTATTCTGTCTTTGAATGTTCTTTTGCGCCCCCTTTTCATTCCTCCCACCAGCTCCCAAAACAACCTTGACCTTAAACTCTTTTCGATACTGGGGCCTTCTTGCAGAAACAACGAAATAAGCTGATATTTAAAAAACAAATATTTCTCCTCTCATCCCCTAGTTCTCCCTCCCCCATTCCTTTATACATCTACCCAGTACCTAGGTGCTTCTCATTGATGTTCTCCATTTCTATACAAACACCGTAACTCGCCATTGAAAAGTCGGGGGTGCTTCTACGGCGAACACTAATAAGGGAATTAAATGCTGTAACGCAGATATTTTGAACATAGGGGAAGGAAATAAAATTAAAATGATTGCATCAATTCTAAACATCAAAAATTATCTATTAGACTGAAGGGATTACAAGCATAGACTGAAATGGCGAAATGGCAAGAATAGGTATAGATTTAGGATGGAGGGAGAAGAAGGGAGAAAGGTGTCTGTTGTAAAAAGAGTGAAGAAGTTTGAAGTGCAGAATGGGAAAAAGAGGCAAATAAACGATAACGACACCACCATCTTCAAGAGACATCATTGCGTCCCAGGCTTAGGACTTTTAGTTTTGTATAATACATTCTGGCTCCGGGCAGGATGATCAATAAGGACATAATATGAACATTCTGGAATGTTAAAAAATAAACGTAATATAAACGTAAAAAGAGGTGGCAGTTACCTGACGTGGAGTTGCATATGCTGTATGATGAATACGATCAATATCCATACACCATAAACGTCTCCAAAGCAATACCAACAGAGAAAATGTAAAACTTGGGGAGCCCAGAGCCCGTCTATCCACCCACCGTACGCGAAGAGCGATTTCCACTCCCCCAAGCCCCTCACTCCTAGACCTAGTCGGCAAACCGCCTATCGAAATACTTCAATACGCCCATAACGCTAGCCGCCTCGACTTCCATCGCCGGACGACCGGTATAGTTCGGAAGCGAAAACCCCTGAGGATTAGGTAAGGTGTGCAGATGTGGTAGCCAGTTATTCAAGTCATCAGTGGCACGGGAGAAGTTAGGATGGCGGGAGAGGGCGGTGTAGGTATCCGCGCAGGAGAGGGTTATGGGCTGTTGTTGCTGCTGGGTTGACGGTGAGCAAGTAATGTCGTCATTTCTCTGACCTTCGTTTCGGTTTCGACCTGCGTTTCGGGTTAAAGGGCGGGACTGGCAGCATCCCCCTTCTGAGCCGCGACCACCACAGCAACCTGCGTTTGAGCCTGCGCCGGTGGCATTAGCGATGTTGGCGCGTGAGGCGGCTAGACTCTTGCAGAAAAGTGTGCTTTTGGGATCAGCCTGGCATTGTGCGCAGGTTCCTGGACCGTTGATGCACGGATTGGCTTTTATGCTATTGTTGGATATGATGCTATTGCTTCCTGAAGGAAGGGGTTCGGATCGTACATCTCCATCTGACGGGGGCGGTGTGAACTGGGATAGGCTTTGGATGGCTAGTCTGTTGTTCGTATCGGATGATGTATTGATATGTGGATTGTTTTCTGCTTCAGCTGCCATTTCTGCACACATGCATGGAGTACCATCCTGACAGAAGCCACAGGGGTCGATCATTCTGGAAGGGGAAACGGACGTTTCGATTCGAACTTTGCGTTCACGGTTTGTCGAAAACAGGGAAGTGAAATCTGTTTCTAACTCATCTGCTTCCATCTTGACTCTGATGTCCGATCTTTGGCGCTTTGAGGCATCGGCCTGATGCGGAGAGCGTGGTCTTTTCGGCAACTCATCATTCTGGGCTGCGGGACTAGTCGGGAATCCAAAAGCTTCCTCAATACACTGGCATCGTGTGGAGGAACAGTTTTCACACGGGACTCCACTGTCCAGGGTGATGTGGGCTTGCTCCGCTGCCTGAACTCTTTTCATTAATTCTTCGTTGGCTTGTTTCTCCTCTGCTACCGTATTCTCCAACGTCTGGCATCGTTTTTTCCACCACGCTATCTCAAACTTGCATTGTTCGAGCTGACCAGAAATAGTTTCAATGTGTTGCTTCAAAGCAGCCTCCCGTTTGTCACTTTCTTCTTCTATTTGCTTGATTTGCTCTTCAAGTTCGCCTACTCTTGCAGCCCTTCTCTCGCGAAAAGCTCTCTGAGCAGCACGATTTTGAGCCTTTCGTTTCGTTGGAGGGGTATCAGTAGCAGGCTTGCGACCAGGCTTTGGGAGGGGAGGGATGACCCATTCTTTTGTGGTGATAGATGCGGGTCTGGGAGGAACTGGGCTTGGGGTAGCCGCAGCGGCGAGCAGCTTAACAGATGGTACTGCGGGAGCCAGAGGGGCGGGAAGACTTGCCGGACTCGAACACGTCGACAAAGTGGATTTCGTTGACATTGCTATTGAGAGTGTTTTTAGGGTGATTTCTGCATACAGTAGGATAGCTCTATGGGAGATAGCTGGTCGCTGAGTAAAGACCTATCTTGGTAGCCTCGGTTTACATGTTCAATTTCGAAAGCCGAATCGACAGAAAAGGAGGCCCCAGAAGGTGCACTTGAATCAATAAGAGGAAGAGCAACTAGTTGATAAATATATGCACTGCGATAGCTCTAGAAATGTGCTGAAACTGGGAATGTGTCATCTCGCCATAAATTGAGATTGAGATTGAGATTGAAAAGGCAACGTATATAGAAAAGAAGTCGAAGAACTGGGAGGCGGAGGGGTTCGGAAAGATCAGATTAGATTATCGTGCGTTCAATCACGTGCGGTCCACAGTAGTTTCTCGCAAGTTTATCTGATTGCCAAGCCTCGTTATCTGATGCATCCACAGAATTTCTTTCCATTTTCAGCCCCACCACCTCCGTATTACGTTATCAATAACGACATCCATAACGTAATTCCCCAAAGAAGCGGATCAACACACCAATCGAAACCACTTCAACGCGTGAGAATGCCTCCAACTCTAGAAAGTCAGCATGTTTTAGAGAAGAGAAGAGGGAAATATAACACATGGTTTTTACTATTCAAAACCAAAAAAAAAAAAAATTATAAATATAAATATAAATATAAAAACCCTCCAAATTATGTTCCTTATGCTACACTATTCTATTGACTCAAAGGATGAATTTTACATGCAAATTCACATAAACTGACTCAAGTGAAAGAGAATAAAATAGTTCAGGAGTTCTACATTTCGCGTAATGAGAGATATCTTCCCGGCCAGCGTTTGTTGAGAATATGATAAATAATTTTCTCACGCTATGAAATTCTACAAGGTCTTTTTCACAGATTACAAGAACTGAATTCCACTTAATTGGTGTTTCAGACACTATAATTATAACCAGGCTGAACATAAGCGTTATACAAAATTAGTTTTGAAAGTTTAAAAGAATATAATAACAATGTATAAAACTCAGCAAAAAGTTAAATACAACTTTAATAAGACTAAATTTATTAACTAAATACTTTGTATACATAATTACTCGCTAAATGCTATATAAATAAGCCTTTTTATGGTCTAAGAATCAAGATTAAGTAATTAAGTTAGTTAGTGAATGTAGCTAAGGTCTAAATTTATTTATGTTTTATTTAAAAGGCTGAATTAGTTAGTTAGTCATAAGAACTAACTTGATAAGCTGTTAGTCGGCTAAAATTTGATATTAGCTTAATGACCGAATTATAAATAAATTATCAACATAATAGACCTCAGATCATTACCATTCAATCAAATTATTCAATATGCCCACCAGATCAAAAGATCAAGCTTCTGATCAAGCAGGAAGGCTCTTATTATATTAATGCCTATAAAATCTCGTCCAAATATGCTGCTGCTTAATCATTTAATGTTCCTTATTTCATTCACTCTAGTCTATAGACTACCCGGTCGAGCTTCTCACACGAATGTTCAACCAAACTGTCAAAACTGACCTCTATGAAAGAAGAATATCTAGTCCAATGGATAATATTCATGGATGAGAGAGAGAGGTCAGCCTCCTCAAATTGAAAATGTACAAAATATGATGGATTTACTACTTTCTGCCGAGTTGAATCTACCTTGAGGGAGGCGCTGCAGAGCCTCTCCCCCAGTACAACCAGCTCAGATGGCACCCTAGAGGAATTCCTCAGGCTCCCAGTCCTTCAGAGAACCATTCCCATAGACCCAGCCATCCTTGCTGATGAGCCGCCCCAGGAGGCCAGTGAGCTTTTCCAATCTTTCCAGCAAAATGATAAACCTCGAATTTGTTGAAGGGGCGGTTGTGCTACCAGAGTTTCGACATTGTAGAACTGCTCTTATTAGCCTCAACGCTCAGGACCCTATAATATAGTTATATCCATGCGTAGCTTGACTTGCTCTGTTGCAATTTATCTGAATATTCGCAGAACGAAGACGCTGGTTTCCTGCCCGCATCTTGGGCTCTGCAATGTCTCAAGTGCATTAATGCTCTGAACCTCTACCATGTCAACGGGGCTCCACGACAGCGCAGCAACCGTGGCTCTCTTGTACATACAAGAATAAGATGTCCCTAATCCTAGTATAAATTTAATTTAATTTAATTAGATGTTGTTGACTGTAGATATTTCAGGGACCAATCTAGTTGGGCTTCAGCGATTGTGGGGAATTCTCCTAGTTAAAGGTTCATTTAGATCAAACAAATTGCTACTAATCGTGCCGCTGCGCAACTCACCTCATGTGGGCGTGCCACACCAAAGTGATAAAAACACTGAAACAATAAAAATCTTGCAATTTCATCATCTTCATCATCTTCATCAATTAATAACTCACCACAATGTCAAATAAGGATAAAAATATTGAAGACAATATTCAAAAAGCTGTCACTTATCATCAAAAAAACCCAAATTTTAAAATACTGCCTCTGTTATGAGAATTTGAGGTTCCTTATCAATGTTTCTAAGTTTGTATCAATGAAAGGAATCTGAATACTGCAAAGATTCCAGTTAACAAGAGATTAAATGAGATTTAGAAGAATGCAATTAAATGATGAGTAAAGCTGCTTGATGAAAAGAATTATTCTTTTATAATTAAACAGATTGAAGGTTTTACAAATTCAGTGCTTAGATGTCAGCACATAGATTCTACTACCTCTCTTTCAAAAGTCAGCAAGATGTGAACTTATAGGTTCATTGAACATCTACCTGAGTATAAGAGGATGAAACAGAAGTCAATAAATTCAAAGAAAGTGACAGTTGAAAATATTGAATATATCAATATGTGATTTGAATGTCTTTAGATTCTATTTGAGCAGTATTAATTTCACATCTATTGTTAGGCTCAGCGTCCGACCGAGCCCGACCGAAGGCCGGTGCCCGGTTAGACCCGACGTCGGATTAAGCTCGGCGCCCGATTAGGCCTAATCCATATCACGTGACCACACGACCATGCAGGTGGTTATAATCCACGCAGGCCCCAGCACCCCCTTTCATCCCATCAAGCTTAGTATTTCGTTATATAGCAGTTAGCAACGCAGAGAGTTTCCTTCTTATGCAGCTCGCATTCGCTCCCTAACATAATACTAAGCTTCCCTTCTACCTTCTCACTCAGGTTTCAGCAGAAAACTTGAGTGCCTCAGTTGAATTAGAACCTGCTAGTTCAGAGCCTGACAACGCGTCAGATCAACTGCTAAGACAACAGCACTGTTGAAGACAACAGCTCAATCCAACATCAGATGGCCACCACAGGCTCCCAACCCCCTGGAAGGGGCCGAAAGGACTGGCGATACCTCCTAACAAGACCAACTGACCAACCACGCGTCTCAATTGAGGAATTCAGAGAGGCAATCCACTCAGACAGCGACCGTGTTTATAATGAGTTGGCGGCGATCTTTGATGGCATCTTTGACGATGAAAAAACATTAAGGGATACGATCACACGTCTGAGAATGGAATGGGACAACGTTACTAATCAGGCCGCTGTCAAGCAAAGCCAGATTGATGAGCTAATTGCTGAACGTGATGAACTTAGCCACACCCTGGTCCGCATGACAGTCAGCAACCAAGCAGCAAGTCGAGGCGTCACCCCCTCTGAGACTGCCAGGAGGTCTGTCAAGATTGATGACCCGAAACACCTCACTGACGGCAAGGAGCCGAAATTTGAACACTGGCTCTCCCGGATGAAGAACAAGCTCCGGGAGAATGCTGACCACTACCCTACTGAACGCATGAGAATAGCGTACATTGAAAACCGGACTGATGGGGACGCAGCACGTCACATTGCACCCCGTATGGAAGAGGACCACCCCGAGCAATATCAAACCGCAGAAGAGATGTTTGAGCACCTCAAGTCAATATATGAGGATGCTAACAAGCTGCAAAATGCCAAGGGTGATTATCGCAAGCTGATTATGCGCAATGGGGATAATTATCATGAATTTGTCACAAAATTTTTACACCTGGCAGGGGAGGCCAAGATTGCCAGGGGGGACTACAAGACAGACTTCAATGACAAGCTGTCCTTTGACCTCCAGAAGATGGTAGCAGTAGCCAATGCGACCACTGATACATATGCTGAGTTTCAGAAAATCTGTGCGCAGGCAGCTCACACCCTCCAGACAATCAATGCCACCCAGAAATCAAAGAGCTCGCGGGGAAATGGGCCTAATACCTTCAAACAGAACACCCTGCAGACCGCCAACAGTCAAACACCCCCCAGCATCTCTACAACAAAATCCCCTACTGTGAAGGAGGCCTTGAGCTCTCGTCCGGATATTCAGTGCTACTACTGTAAGGAAAAAGGCCACATTGCCAGGAACTGCCCTGCAAAGCAGAAGTCCCAGCAGGTGATTGCTGAGCTCACAGGGAATGATGCCCCTGAGCCTTCAGCAGATTCGGGAAAAGAGTGAGCCTGAGAGAAGACTCCACCTCAGGTAGTTCAACAGTCTGTGAGAGGTTTGAGATGAAGGACTTGATTGGGGGGAAAAGCTTTAATGTACCAATCAAATTAGCCTACAATGGAATTGCTACTTCTACAAATTCTCTTGCTGATACTGGAGCAAATGGTGCGAATTTTATTGATACCCGATATGCCATAGAATTGGCAAGATTCTTTGATAGGAAGTTTCAAGAACTCCCATTCAAATGCCGCATGAAGGGATACAATGGCGCCCCCGGCGGGGTGATAGACCGCACATTGACCCTAAACCTCTGGGTGGATGGCCGGAGATTTCAGAATGTCCCTCTGCTGGTAACAGACCTAGGCCAGCACCCTGTCATCCTGGGACGGAAGTGGTTGGCAGCACAGGATATATGGCTTGATGTTAAAAACCAACGCCTGGTTTGGCCGAGTGAACGGTCTATCCCTGAACAGGTGGCGGAGCCGATGTTGAAGATAGTACCCTGGTCAGTACTGAAGCGCCCAGACCCCAAGCCTGAGCATCAGGCGG